TCTCCCGCCGGCGGGGCTGGGAAGGGTAGGGGTTGCTGCCATCCCGCGCGGGCTCGCCAGAAGGGTGAGGGCCGCGCCAGCGGTACGGGCCGTGGGAGCGCCGGTCGTGGGATTCGTGCCGGTTCACCTCCTCGTTCGGGCGGGCAGGGTCGTCAGAGGCTTTCGGGTGTGCCCCTCCGGCCTCCTCGTTGACGTCGGCTCCCCCTTCCAACGGGTCGTCGGGCACATTCCCCGCCCCGGGCTCCTCGCCAGCATCGGCGTTGAGGTCGACCTCGATGGGCTGCTCTTGAATGGACCAGTTGGCGTCCTCGGCGTGGGAACCCACCTCATCGTCTTCCTCGTCATTCATTTCTTCGTCGGCCGTAAACTCAGCGGCCCCGCCTTCGGCATGTTCATGTGTGGCGAAATCCCTGTAGTGGAACTGCCCGTCCGGATGCATTTCTGTAGGGACGTCTCCATGGTATCCCTCTAAGTGAGGCACGTTCTGAGACTCGTTCACAGTATCCCTGTGGATAAGGTCTTCGTTGTTAATTCCACTCATATCAGTTCTGTATTTACTCAAGAATCAATATTATGTGCAATATATATATATGAGACGAATCAATATCTTATTCTTCAGAGATTTTACGATGTGTTATAACTTGAGAAGTCGTGCTAAATGTAAAGTACAAAACGATAATATGCGTTGTGGAAAGAAGTACTATTTCTAGAATCATCAGTGTGCATCGAGGGGTACTCATTCACGTGCATGAGTAAAAGGGTAACATACAGGGCCAACACTGCATGATAACATCTCAATTTTTTTATCGGCAGATTTCGTTATTTCTTCAGAGTAGCTGCCCCACAGTACGACACGCAATGCACCTACCCATGTCAAAAAAAGGGAATACTTGGTAAAGAGGATTGACAACAGACATCTATTTCAATATTTTTCTTCTATTTCGTTTTAACCAACACAAGATGTCGGTCGTCTTGCATAAAGGCGTCTTCAGAGGGGCATGTGAGTTTTGTGCACTAGTCTATCCCCTAGAAAGATTTCTGACATAGATAGATCAATATCTAAGTGTATATTACCCCTTCATGCATTTACCTTCCATGACTTGTTTCAATTTATAAACCGTTCAGTTTTTATCCTTCAAATCTGTTCTAATCACAATTTCTTTCGTTCCATCCTTCTGTTCTATTTGGGTTCCATTTCTCAGTGTCCCATTCTCTATATTTGTAATTCCTCTGACTTCTGAGGCAATTCTGCGCGAGTCCCTTAGCTTGGAAACCCACCAGCAAGCGGAGGACTCTCAGAGAAACGGGTGAAGGCAAGTTAGAAAAATTACCTTTGGCGACCAAATCCAGAGTTATACTTGAGTGCCTGGGTGAGAAAGCGGTGTAGCATGAGAGATTCAGCCGCGTCGAGACTCACTTGCCACTCCACGGAGTCCTCCGCGACGTCGACCCCCTCCGCGGTCTGGCGTTGCCCCGTCGTTGGCCGGTGCGAGACGCAGCGCAGGATGTAGTGGTGCGCCTTCGCCGTCGAGGTATCGGGCTTGAAGGTTGCGTTCGTGAAGCGGGATTGAACCTCGACTTCGGACATACGCCCTTCCAGGACTCCCAGAAATCGTGCGATGTAGACCGGCGGCAGCGTCAACGTCACGAGGCGCTCCGCGTTACCCCTTCCGTCGCCATCAATCCGGCGCCCGTCGTCATCCATGATCCTTCGCGTCTGCCGGTGGTATTCCAAGACGATATGGCTATCACGATAAATCACCCGGACGAGGTGGCCTGCTGCCACATCGGCATCGTTCCAGTGAACGATATCGAAAGCCGGCGACAGCGGCGGCAACGGGGGGCGGCGTTGTGAGCTAGAAGAGTTGTTGCTGCCGCTAGCATTGCGCTCACGGGCAGCATCAGAGGCTGCCCTCGTCGCGTCGGTGGTGATCGAACGATGTGATGCAACACTGATGCACAGAATAGGCCCTACTGGCGCACGCGCTGTGGATGTGGGCAACGTACGTCGGCACGACGATGCTATCAAACGGCGCAGCATTGGCGTTACCAAAAAAATCGAATAGGTCGGTGATGGAGAATAATGTATTGGATAATAAAGCTTAGGGGAAAAAAGATACCACAAAATTTGAGCTACAAAAAAAAATACTTTCTTAAGTCGATATTTAGAATATGTATATAAGTGTATATATTTGACAGAGAGAAGCAAAAAATGTGATCTCAAAGCACTTTTAATGCATCAGCCGTTATCCCCATTACTGCGGCCTCCATGTCATCTTCCCTCGCTTGCTACCATCTCTAGAATGAGCTTATCATGATAACAAAGAGTGAACCGATATCTTTTTTAATTATTATCATCACCACAGCCAAAAAAGTAAAAGTATTTTGTGAATCGGATGAGTCACTGCGACCGTACAAAAGACACCTCGATAACGCACCTTGGCGTCCCCCCTCCGAAATTAGGGATAAGGATTTGACTGGTGAGGAAAAGCGGCGCTAGAAAAAGGCTTCGTCATCAGCCCTCCATTCAATGTCGCAAAAAAAAGTAAGGTATACAGTATTCTCCTGTCGTCTTTCTTACCTTTGCGCAAACCCCATCCAGTCTATCATCTTCTCAAACACCAATGAAAGAGCCGCACCACCAGCGATGCCCGCAACAAGGCCCGGGTATTTATACGAGCGCCATCCATAGCCGCCACCGATAAGCCCACCTGACAGCGTTGGGTTCCACTGATCTTTCCGCCCACGGCGCTTCTCCAGAGCCACTTCGATACCACCAAATAGAAAACCGAAAAAAGCGAAGCTGCGGCCCAGTTTCCCCGCGTTGCGCAGGCTGTGACGGAAGAAATCCGCCGTACCCATGCTCTGCGTCGAAGTCTCCGCGCTAATCATCGATCCAAAGAGGGAGAAGCCGTACCCCATGACGTAGCCGCCGCCGGCATTAATGAGCGCCGTGGAGAGGGTGCTATCCCTGGCAAGCGCCAGCATCTTCTGAGTCGCATCCATCGGCGGCTGCGGGTCAAGGATTGAGGTCATGACTAGTTGGTTAATAAATTTGCTTTAGGGGCTAATACGATGGTGGTTATTATAGAGTTGATGAGTGTGTATTATTTATTAAGGAAAACCTCCTGTGATGGAACGACTTGCTGTCTAGCCGGTAAATTTCCTTCCGGAAGGGAGAAAGTAACCTGTTTTCTTAAAAATACTAAGAAAGCGAAAAAATGGATAAAATGAATTCTGATCAGTAGAGCAGCAGGAGAAGAGACATGTGTGAAACACAAGGGAGAAGTCAAGAGTCGATACAGATGAAACGAAAATGTAATGCCACATGTAAAAGAAGGTGCTTCCTCCCCCCCCCCCCTCCAAAAAAAAAAAGGAAAAGGAGCTCTACATATTTTTACCTTCTTTTAAAAATTTGCATTATCTGAAGAATGAATATGTGGGTAAACATTTCCATCACCAAGAGAATAAAATATATTCCCACAATGGCTCCAAAAGTCCGTTGGGGAAAAAAAAGACCCTCTGTGTCTCGAATGCTCTTGTTGTTCGGTTTGTGAACAAACGCAGCCTTGCGTTTCCATCACATCAGACAACCCCTACCCCGCTTACTGCGCTTTGCCGCCCTCCTCTTTCATAATTTCCACTTTCTGTTCTACTTTTTTACAGGGTGTACTCCGGCTTCCTCTCGACCACTGCCATACGCTGTTCCGACTCCTCTCCCCACGCCTCAAACTGAAAAATCCCGACAAAATCTGAGTATCCCGAAAGGATGCGCAGCCTTAACCTTTGAATATCCTTACCATTAGTATGAGGGTCGAGATCCACCGTCTCCGTCTGGGTGCCGTAAATCACCACTCCATCCTGAGTTTCCCCGTTCGAAGTCAGCTTTTTGCTGCTGAGACTTGAGCTCAAATTGTGTGTCTCATCAGTTTGGCGTTTAGGCTTGCATTCTATCAGGGCGCCGCGCTCCATCGTGTGCGCCAGAAGGGTAGTAAAGGGCCCGAGTCTCTGGGTGCTGCCCTCTAGGACGATATCCTTTGCATCCTGAAGCACAAAGCGGATAGAAGAAATGTCCGCTTTGCTCGCACAGGTGTTGAAGACAATCTCATGCGGAAAGCAGCCGGTGGTAAGTGCGAACGACGGGGTTGCGCTCTTAGGCTCGAGGATGTTGCCGATAAAAAGGTCATCGTTGTGGAATGTCGCAAAGGCAATCTCTAATTTGACGCGATTTGAGCCACCCTTGTTCGACATATCACGGTGCTTTTAATAATGTGATAACGATCTAGTTTTGATTACTATTGTAATTGTGGTGGTGATGGTTCCTTTCTGACGATATATTAGACTAAGCGTAAACCCGCGAAACAATGAGGCACGGAACGAAGCGTCTCGATAAATTGCAGAGATAGCAACTCAGAGTCTATCAAAAAGCACCCGCCACATACCCAAAAAGTGTTCCAAACCCACCCATTTAACGAAAGAGAAAGATTATCCTCGTTCAGGACCCCATCACAGAGGAACCCCTCCACACCTTTCCCGCTCATCTTTAGCACCTTCATCTTAACCGTCTTTAACCACTCCCATGAACGCGCTGCGGGTTTTATGCCGTCGCCGTTTCCCCCCCCTTTCCTCAGGACGACCGGCTTCGTTTCCTCCCCCCTCCCGACCGCGCTCGTCGCGGCGGCGGCCCCACCTCACACTCCCGCGAGGTCCGCACCACCTCCCGATCCGGCCGGTTCACATTCCCCACACTCGCCACCTCCCACTGACTGCGCCCCCCGGCCCGCCTGGGGTGGACCGCCGCGATCCGCGCCGCACGCGCCTCCTCGCGCGCGACCTCCCGTCTGGTCTTGTTGAAGACCCGCAGCGTCCCTGTCGCGATGTCGTACCGCCCGGCCTGCTTCAAAGGCGTCGGGTCCCCCACCCGGCGGAGGAGGTGGGCGCGGCGCAGCTGCCGTCGCGTGAAGTCGC